AGTTGCGGTATACATCGTGTACAAACCACATGCCCACAAATAAGGTTTATCGGTGCTCGGTGATGGTCAAATAACTAAAAAAGAAAAACTAAAAAAACGATAGTCGTTCACAATTCATCACATACCTGGTTACATACCACACAGCAAAGTACGTCCGACCAGGTTAGACCCTGTCCAGCAGGTGCCATGGAAGATTAAGCAAGGATCAAAAAGGTTAGGTAACTGGGTGTATACACGGTATACAGGCAATAGTGGCCGAAAAGAAGTGAATCTAATTGGATTGTCTTGATTCTTCACATTAGGTAATCCTAAAATTATACTTCAAAAGCACGCGAAATAAACATACAAGGCAGATATGAGCTGCAATTTTTCTTGAGATGAGAATGTCTGTGAGTACAAAACAACAAATAAGAAGGATTTTTGAAGTATGAATCGGATCAACCTCAGCATAGCAAGATAAATTCCTCAAAACTTTATTGAGCAATATAACAGAAGGAAAAAAGCAGACATTGAACAACAAATTTTCTGATTTCTGTAGCTAAAATCTTAACAAAATTCCTGAGCAGAAAGAACCGGGTAGAGACAAGTTGGTAAAGTATAGCAATACAAGGATAGAAGCACAGATTGCAGTGCTTGTCACAAATATTTTGTTTCGTAATTGGCAAAACAAGAAAATTCGTTAGAAAGATTATTAGCATGCTGAGGCTCAAATTTCAAGCGATGAAGCCCAAGAAGACGATGAGCCTAAAATGATGAAAAGTCAAAGGGAAATGAGAAAAAAGATACGTCCAGAAATATAAAACATGAATACTAACTCAACTAACCATCTTCTCCATAACTGCTCCTGTGCACAAAATAATTTTAGCATTTGGTTTCGCCAGCATTCGAATAGTTTGTGCCGTTTTGACTAAACATTCATCAGCAAGAAAAGGAGGATCGGCAATAACAACATCAAAAACTCCTGCAAGTTGGAACATGATGGCTGGTGATAATTTAATGCAGAAATGTCTGTTACCTTTCAGTTCGCTAGGAACAGCTAAAGGATGTCTATAGTCATAAGGTACGTATTCCTCTGGAAACTTCTTCTCAAAACGATGATCGTATTCAAGTAATTTGATGACGACACTATCCTTGTTATAACTCTGAATGGTATAAGATAAATTACAAACAAAAGCTGTTATGATCTATGGTGACTTTAATAGAGGAGCGATTACCTTTGTTTAATGCTGTGCAAAAATTGAAAGTAGAAGAATCAAAAACTTACGTCAATATTAGGGAAGTACTGCATCAAGGTAGGGCACGATATACATGCTATGCGACCATTTCCTCCAACAGCTTCTATGAGCTCATGACAGAGCTGAAGCGCAGTTTCTGATGCATACCAAAACTGACTTAACTGAAAAATTAGCATCTTTCTCTA